TGTATAAAGGATAATGAAGCAGCGTCGCCGATCCTGGACTTTAAAGTACTGGTTTTGAAAAAAAAAAAAAAAAAAGGGGGGGAAATTTAGTGAGAAGTTTTTCAGTCTTATGTGATGAGACCCGAGGGGAAACTCATGTGGTGTGATTTAATCCTCCGGTGCACAGCTAAACCTCAACTACACCGTAAGAAAAAAAAGGAGGTAATAGAAAAGCACGGGGAGAAAACACTTAAAATTAATTCAATTCTAATTATTAAATATCTAAAAATCTTTCTTTTAAAATAAATCATGACATCTGTTAAATAAAGAGAAAAAGTAAAAAAAAAAAAAAAAAAAAGAAGCTAATATGAAACTAAAACAATAACCTTTATGATAACGTTTTCGAGCAGTTGGTGAAGAATTAGCATCTTTCTAACAAAGGACAAGGAAAGGTTTGACCTGTGATGGGTCAAACTTAGATGCTTGCCAAGTGCTTCGTGTACAATGACCCGGAAACTTCTCTCTTCCCAAACACCAGCTAAGTCTTACTTCAACCCATTTGTGCAACGCCACAACAGCACCGAAAACAAAACAGATACCAGCTCACGGCAAAAGTTAACCAAATAACAATGCCCCTGCAAATATTTCTGTAAAAAAGAAAGGTGGGGGACGCAAGCACCCATAGTCCCTGTCCTGTGTAGCATTTAAGGTACATTTATTTTTCTTCGCTTGTAAGTGCAAATTCTTTTGCATTAAAAATATAGCTCAGTGTCGGTCCGCTGGTCGGCGCCCGCCTGCAAAAAAGGCCTTGCAGGCCCGCTTCCGCCGGCCCTGTTACCAACTCTTAATATTCCTTTAGAGTCCAGAAATGGGCATAGATTTACCGAGTTACTAGCATACAGCAAATGCTTTCCCTGTGTTGAATTTCTTCAGGAAATTTTTTTCAAAATGTACATCAAGGCACAAGACAGTTCATCATTTGATAAATGGCCTACAATTTCAAGATGTATTCATTTCAAATTCTTACATTTTCAATAAAGTGTAAACACCAAGCCATCATTCAGCAAACATCACTCTTTGATAATTAAGACACACTCTTTGATATTTGCTGAATGATGAACCGCTATTAATAATATCAAGGTTATCTAATCCCTGCATAGATACACTAAATTCATTGAGAACATTATTCAATTCTCACAAATAAAGCTGCGTATTCTCTACATCTGCTACGTGCCATGGTTTAAATTCTGCTTCGTTGGGCAAAAATGATGGACCAACTAACCATAAATGAAAACTTTCAATTTTATTTGTATTCACATCTCTTGAAATCACATCAGCAGAATTATCGTTTGAACTGACATGCCTCCAGTTATTAATTTCTGTGAACTTTTTTATTTTATTACAGTACAAAGTCCGGACTCGTCGGGACTTCGGCGTTTCTGTATTAGGGATTTTTCAGATATTAGATCATCAATTTAAATCTGGTAAGATAGCATGCGGAAATTATGCAATTAGAAATATGAAATCTTAATTTATGAAATAAAGAACAATTGTGATCTAAATGGTATCAAAATTTACAAAAAAAAAGCTTAATATTTATTCGTTTACTCTATTAAACATTTCTTTCAATTTAAATTGCTTCCACCAAAAATTCAAAAAGTTCCTTTTTCTTTTTTCTTATGTCATATACAGTTGACTTTCAAATGTCATACTCCTCGTAACAATTTTGAGACGGATATGCCTTTATCCATTTATTGCAGCAATTTCCACTGTTTGTTTAACTGGACATCGAAACATGGTTTCGCTTTGTAGATCCTTTGGGAGCTCCGGAATTGGGAACTCTTTTCGACATAATTCAAAAGTTCAAGCTTAGTTTTATAAAAAAGTCTGCAATAACAGCCGTTATAATAACAGTTTGCAAAAAATAATAAGCTGGATCAAATTAGAAGATCAGGGAGCAGTGCAGTGCTAACTGAAATGCCTTAGAACCAGTATAGATAATTTTAGTCTAGCTTAATAGCGACCATTATACATTATTGGCGACGAAAGCCAAGTTGTTTCAAAGCCAAGTTGTTTTGCCAAATTTTGTCTTGCTCATATCGCGTACTGAATTAAGCCTGAATTGTACTATATCTATGTTTATTTCTTGCAAATGCTTAAAACTAATCCGAGTCCTGAATAAATAAACTTCCACATATACTTAACGCTTTATTTAGGGCCGGCACTAAATACCGCATGGTGCAGTCTGTAAGGGTCCTAAATTCTGCTACAAAGCGCGTTTCTAAGTTTTAAATTTTCACCGCACTTAAACTTTGCATCCCAGTGCTTTTCCTAAATCATAAAATGCTTTTCATCCCTTAATTTTGCCGCTCGGGAAGAATAATACGGATATATTATCTTTCACCAAAACTTTAAGTAAAGTATGAGCCAAACAGTTGTCTACAATCAGGACTATTTTTGAGTCATCAGGTAAATACCGAATTCAAATGTTTACAATCCCCGGGTATAAGATGATTTTCAAACCAATCATTCATTCACGTGTGTATCATCCATGCTCTTTTATTTGTACGATATATAACAGGGAAAATCGTTACTCCTTTAAATACTCGAGGTCGTGCATGTTTTCCGATTATGAAAAGTTTGCATTATAAAAACTTCTCATCCCTTAATTTTGCCGCTTGGTGGTTCCCCAAATTTTGCAAAAATTTCATCTTCCCTAAATTCTGTCGTCCGGTGCTGACATATTCTGCCGCCGCTTCTGGGTTTATGGGTTATCAGTTCTTCTTAATTGAAATAACACTAAATGTAATCTTTTGGCCTATGAGTTTCATTAACAAAATCTATTTTTAGGATATGAAAAAAATTTTTTGTTGAATTTTTCCTCGTCAACATTTGTTAGAGCATTTAAAAATCTATAATCATAGCCAAGCTTAATGTTAGCAGAAAAAGTTGCCATACTCTTGTTATTCAATTACTAATATAAAAAAAAAAGTTTAGACTCACAAATTTATGCTTACATGATTGTTTTTCCGTAATGAGGTTATTTTATTTAGTGCCTGAGTGAAATTAAGAATCGGAATTTTTAAGTGAAAATCTCCACATATTTTATTATGGAAGGAAAAATCAAATGTGCATGTGCAAAGCATACAGGAAAAAAAATTGCTTGTGGCTTTGAGGTCCTAATTTTAGATCATTTCGGACTTTGTGCTGTATGACTTTTTCATGTTGTTTTGCTTTATTGTGTGTATGTATATATAAAATTCATTTGTCACAGACTCTTTCTGGTGGCAATAGTATAGCAACTGCTGCTAGTAATGCTTCAAACATCATTACAACTTATTTTTCCATAGATGGAAGTTTGAAAATGTATATGAATATTTTACATTATCTAACAAGCATTTTACATTGAAATGGCTTTATATTGGCAAAATGTGGTAAAAAACCAATTGCATCATTAATGATTTGTTTCTCGCACATGTGTAGATGAGGTAACTGTTTCTTGCCATTGCAGAAATTTGCCAAATTCACTTTTTCGCCAATTCCACTCTAGAAAACAAGTATAATACAAAGTCCGAGATCTGGAAGTCCAGTGTCCAGAAGGATCTAAAGTCCGGACCTCAAAGGCGCCACCAACCAATTTCTTTTAAGATTTTTTGGGGGTGTATGCTTTACGCATGCACATTTGATTTATTTCCTGCCTCATAATAAAACATACGGAGAGTCCCGATTCTTAATCTCACTTCGGCACTAAATAAAATATCTCATTATTGAAGAAATAATCATTTTAGCATAAATTTGTTTGATCAGTAATTTGACTCCATAGCTGTGTATCTGCTTGGCATACATCCAAACAAACATTGTTTTTACAACTAATATTTATATTCCTGGCGCCAACCTGGCGAATCATTATTATATTTTGCTTTTATCATGGCATGTTTATCAATACATGACAAGTTAAGTGATGACTTTTGCAGTGATTCCTAAACAACTTTTTTATATTAGTAATTGAACAACAAAGACTATTATCGACTACAGATTTAAGTTATACGCAGTAAAAAATGTTGATGAGAAAAGATTTAACAAACATTTCTTTCTATATGCTAAAAATAGATTTTGTTAATGATACTCATAGGCCAAAAGATTAGATTTAGTGCTATTTGAATTGAGAGTAACTGATTTGTTATTCACATAAAGCCAGAGCTCCCATGGCCGAATCGAGCGGCAGAGTTTAGGGAAGAAGAAGAGTTAACAGAAATTTTTCATTGCGATGATAATGCCCCAATCCCCAATCAATTAAAGGACGGTAAAATCTGTAGTATGGTTCTAGATCCAGAAAATACCGCTCCTGATAGTGTAGAAAGTGACACAGAAGTTATTGAAAAAGAAAAAATTTCGATTGACAAGTTAGTCTGAATTCTCGACTCAGAAATTACAGGACTTAAACAATGGAACTTAGTAACTGAACAAGAAGTTATATCTGTGTGTAGAATTAAAAAGAAAGTATTAGCACAAAAATCAAAGCAACTTAAACAATGTACATTGTAAGAAATGTTTAATAAAGTAAACATATTTTAGAGTCATTAGGTTTTTTGGAAGCAGGAATACATGAAAAATTATTGTTGCCCTCGCTGGGACTCTTGGACCTCTCGAATGTGTGTCGAGTGTGCTAACCATTACACCACAAAGGCATGCCAAAAAGAGGGAGAAAAATACATTATAATATAAATATTAAGTTTTTTGTTGTAAATTTTGATACCTTTTAGATCACAAATGCTTCATTATTTTATAAATCATGATTTCATATTTTTAATTTTATAATCTCTAGATGTCATTTTACTAGATTTAAACTAATGATCTAATATCCGGAAAAATAAAAAATCTGGGATCGCTGAAGTCCTGACAAGTCCAGATCTCAGACTTTGTACTGTACCAAATATTTTCTTATGTCAATACATTTTGTTTATTTGTATGTACAATTACTAAATTTTTCTTTTTCTAATTTTTTAAAAATTTTATTGTTTTGTTCTTAGGGTGTCCCAAGTTCTGCATTACGGGAGATTTGCTTATTAAAAGAGTTGAAGCACAAAAATATTGTCAGGTATGTTTTGTAAACTAATAAATTCTCAGTATTAATGCATTTTTTATATCCATTTGTTGAAGTGCTACATAAGTACAGCAATTACTTTTTTGATTTGAGCTATAATTTTATGTTCTCCTGGGCTCCTTTTTCCAGTTCTCCTGGTTTTTCATAACATCTCATTCTGGCATTGGATCAATGAATCTTCCAATTTTTAATATATTTATTTTTAATATTGAGTGGAAGGAAAATGTTCCACTGCAGTAGATTAACTGAAATGAAATGTAAATTTGGCAAATTCCATTCTCCCTCATTTTATTTGCATAAATTATCCTAATCTACTATAGACATTTATTTTAATTATATAATTTTTTATGAAGATTTGACCAATGTTTAATCAGTTAATATTTGTGTTTAATTTTGTTTTACATCAATAAATGGAACATTGTAAAGTTTATTCCCGCAAAATTATATACATATAGTATTGTTGCGGGTTTTTTTTCCCATCTTCACGTTTGTACGGGGTTCGTAGATTTGAAGTGAATAACGACGGCACCAAGCTGAAGTATCAAAATACACTTTAATGGCCAGTATTTTTCAAGACAGCTCCAAACCACTTTACAGTCTTTGAAGAACTACTATAAACATTCAAAATCATAAAAACAACCTTGTATTTAGCGTAAGAATATTGAAACAATCGATTTCGAGGGCAGCTAAAGGTCCCTCCTCATCAGGAGAAAGAAATACCTAGAAAGAAAAATAAAGGGGAAGGAGTCTCAGAAACACGTGGTCCTTATCAGCACTGCACGTGGTTATAAACGGATTTTTAATCAGAGTTACACTGGCCGCCTACTTTTACTGAGCCAGGCTATCTGATCAAACATATAACACAAAGGACAAGAAAAAATAGCGAAGTTAGAAATAGGGAGGGAGGGGCAAATGCACCTTCATGCTCAAAATCTGAACTTCGAATAATGGAAAGCAACCACTGAACAGATATTTATACCCTCTGGTAGTACCAAACGTGAGGAGGTAACACCATCTATCGGCAAAAATAACTGAATTAAGATAGTAGAATTTTAAAGGCATTAGGAAGGACTGGATTGGACTTCAAATCATTAACTAAACATGCTAAATCTTTGTGAATATGAAAAGCCTCAAGAAAATGCAATTCACCTATGGAAGAAGCCTTTCGGATAATTTTTGCAGACCCAAAGTCAAAATTATGGTTAAATGTCCAACTATGATACACTATTGAAGACTTGTTGATTTCTCCTTTTCTGACATAAGATTCATGTTCCTTGATACGAAACTTCAACGCTCTTTTTGTTTGGCCAATATATCTTAAACCTTATTATATCTTTTTATTATTAAAAAGGTGAAATCAACAAATCTTCAATAGCGTATCATAGTTGGACATTTAACCATAATTTTGACTTTGGGTCTGCAAAAATTATCCGAAAGGCTTCTTCCATAGGTGAATTGCATTTTCTTGAGGCTTTTCATATTCACAAAGATTTAGCATGTTTAGTTAATGATTTGAAGTCCAATCCAGTCCTTCCTAATGCCTTTAAAATTCTACTATCTTAATTCAGTTATTTTTTGCCGATAGATGGTGTTACCTCCTCACGTTTGGTACTACCAGAGGGTATAAATATCTGTTCAGTGGTTGCTTTCCATTATTCGAAGTTCAGATTTTGAGCATGAAGGTGCATTTGCCCCTCCCTCCCTATTTCTAACTTCGCTATTTTTTCTTGTCCTTTGTGTTATATGTTTGATCAGATAGCCTGGCTCAGTAAAAGTAGGCGGCCAGTGTAACTCTGATTAAAAATCCGTTTATAACCACGTGCAGTGCTGATAAGGACCACGTGTTTCTGAGACTCCTTCCCCTTTATTTTTCTTTCTAGGTATTTCTTTCTCCTGATGAGGAGGGACCTTTAGCTGCCCTCGAAATCGATTGTTTCAATATTCTTACGCTAAATACAAGGTTGTTTTTATGATTTTGATTGTCACATTAGCGTGTTTCTCTTCTTGTCTACTATAAACATGCTGAAACAATCAGTGACACAGACTTCAGGCTATAACGGTGGAGACAGCTTCACTGCAAAGCACCAGATTACAGCTCCCAACTCTGCTTGGTCGTTCTTGGAATTCTACGTACTCTCGGGACTCTCCATGCTTTAACTCGCAAAGCACTCAACAATACACAAGAGTGCATAGACTCGGTTCAGTCGTTCTCGGAGCTGAGCACACTCTAAGATGAAACCTGACGATGCACTAACTTGCGATACACCGAGAGACTATCTCAATGCACTCAATGACTAATTTGGCACTATACTTCAAGACACTCGCTCACTGACTGTTAGTTTGATGGACTTTGCACTATTAGCTCGCTACTTGAGACACTGACTGACTCTCCGTGTACCAGCATGGTTTATATAGCTTTTGGCTTGTGTTCAAGAACATTCTGGACTAAACCAGTAAGAATTTGTTCCAGAAGGTTCTCCCTCTGTCTATGGCATATCTCCAGTTTTGTTGCCAAATGAGCGATTTCTCACCAAATATGGCAACCCTGCCTTTCCTTGCCATTTTCTGGCTACCCTAAACCTGTTTTGTCAGGAAGCTATCTTACTGCGCGTTGACCTTTTGTAAAAATATTAATTCTAATTTCATCATATTTAAAATTTCTTTGATAAATAAAAGGTTTTCTTTGATACTCGGGAATTTTTCAGCGTAAAAAATGTAAGAAAAATACAAAGTGAAATTAACAAAAAGACATAATTTAGAAAATCTAATGGAATATTAATACAGTTTTCATCGAAATCATGTTTATAATACTTCAATAATATGAATCATGCACCTTGTAAAGTGAATTTAAGTCAGTTTGGAGTTTTCTTTTAATTTTTTGTTACTGGGACCAAGGGTATGTATATTCAAGGTTCCTACAATCCTTAAAAGTTCTTAAGTTCTAAGTTAAGTTTATAAACTTCTAAGTTAAGTTTTATAAATCGAATTTTGGTCCTTAAAAATTTTTGCCAAAATCGTCGGAAGGTCCTTAATTTTAATAATCTGAAATTTCTGTCTTGTTTTTACAACTACTGTTTTGAGTGTGAATTATCATTTTGGAGGAATTTTTTTTGGCTATTCACTGACAAATATGATTATCTTTTGAATGTGTTCATGGGGTATAATTTGTTCCTATTTCTAATATAAAGGGTGGGATACTGGAGTTTCTAAGCAAAAAGTGAAACATAAATATTTAAAAATTATTTCATTTTTTTCTAATGAAGAGCTCTTAAACAACTTTCTGCTTTTGTAGATGTGAATTCTTACGAGGCGTATTTGGAAACTTAAGTACCGTTTTGAAAAAAAAAAAAAATAGTAAAACAATTTTTTCGAATCCAATTTTATTTTTACATGAAAATACATGTCTTAAACTATTTTTCAACATAGTTTCCGCCAATGATCAAGCTCTTGTCATAGCGGGTGACCAGTTTTTGTATACCATCGTCAAAGAAATTTCCAGTTTTGATAACCACGACTCTACAGCATTTTTCCGTGTCATCGTCCGATCCAAAGCGCTTGCCTCCAAGCTCGCGCTTCATGTGCAGGAACAAGTGATAACATGAAATTTGTGGAAATGCCTCTGAAAGAGTTGTCATTGTGAAGCGTCTGTTCTCATGAATTGCTTCATCAACTTTCCTTACCAAATCATCGGTGACAACAGAAGGCCGACCACTCCGAGCCTCGGCGTGGACATTTGTTCGACCTGCATTAAACATTCTTACCCACTTTCTCACCATTCCATCACTTATCGCGTATTCACCATAAACTTCTGGTCACTTGATGATAAATTTCGGCCGGTTTAACATTCCTCGCGTTCAAAAATTTAATCACGGCACGAATCTCACCCTCAGCGGGAGAACTAATTGTCTTAAACGTTTTGAATGTGCACAGCAAACTGAAAACTCAACATAGAGCAACCAAAATTGCGACAATTGAAAGTCAGTGAACAAGAAAGACTAGTGCACATGCGCGGGACACCTACCACAGTGCTGCGACGGCGCTAGAATGAAACGGTACTTAGTTTCCGAATACGCTACATATATTAAACGGCTTGAAATTTAGTGACTTATCAACATTTCGGTGATTTTAATATCAGTTTCTATAAAAAGTTTTTAATTCGGAGATCTGGGAATTTTTCGTGGATTTATAAGGTATTTCTCCCGCCTTCATAGTGTAGTGGTTCTGCACACTGGGGCGGTATTTCAGAGGTCCGCGGTTAGATTCCTGGCAAAGTTGGTTGCTAATTTTTCATCTTGCATGCTTCCAAAAATTCCTAATGTCTCTATAGATTTTTTAAAAACATTATAACATTAATAAATTTAATTAAAATAATGGTGATATATTTTAATTACTGTATTTGATGGCATATAAGACGCCCTTTTTTTCCTAAATTTGGTCTCAAAAGAGTTACCTGCATCTTATACGTGAAGGACACAGGTTAAACTTTCAATACTGAATGCTATTTTTAGCCCGGATAAAGGTCTAGACACTCATAAATTTTTCTACATCTGCCAAAATTATTTTGTGCATGTGTGAAATATCTGTCGCCAAAAAGCACCAAAGCTCGAAGCTGATGTTGAAGTTCGAACAGGTTCAACGGTCACATTACATCTATGGAGCCTTTCCTTCTTTACATAGACTTTCTTTGACTCAGCTGACACACGTGTCGGTATCGATGCTTCTCTGTATAAACGTGTCGGTATCAGTGCTTAAAACTATTTGTTTAAAAAAAATACCCTGGAAAATATGACTACAGGAAATAAGAGATTAAGCTATACAATTCAGTATAAACTAGGAGTGTTAAACTACTCCAAAGTGCTTGAAAACAGAGCAGCAGCAAGGCATTTCAGTCCACCACCTATCGAAAAAATTATATGTACTTGGCAACTGCAGGAAGATCAACTGAAGACTGCTAAAAAACAAAAAACATAACCTTTGATGCCCAGCTTCATCTT